TATGTGTCTCTTTCAGTTTAACGACAAGCTAACAACTACTAAACCCTAAAGAGCAACAATGTGGTTTACTGGAGGTCGTTATTCACCAGGATGTGAAGTGACGTGTGTTTTGGGTTATTTTCGTGTTAAAAGACAAACAGAAGACACAGACTTAGTTTAGCTGCTGACTACTTGAGGTTTTCTTTGAAAATCTTCACAAAGCTGTCTTTCTTAAAGATTTTTTCCACCTTGACAAGATCCCCGAGATCCAGACGAACAGAAGCATTCCCACAACAAAATACTCAGACCACCGTGTTTCACTGTGGAGACGGTGTTCTGTAGCTCGTACACCTCTTCTTTCTCCAAACATAAGCAGTATCTCTTTGGCCAAACTAGACTCTAGTTTGGTGTCATCTAACCACAGCCTGCGCTTCCAGTATCCATAATTTTCTCCAGGTTATCCTTTGCATACTATAATATTGCTAAAAGTTGTCTGTTCTGCAGAAGTGGAGTTTTTCTTGCTCTGCAGGTTTGCAGTTCATTCCTCTGCAGGATTTTTCTTCTTTGAGGCAATTCCAGACTCAGCCAAGTCATTCACTCATGTCTTGGCAGTTGTTCTGGGGTCTTCAGACACATCTCTCACTAGTTTTCTTTTCAGTTTTTGAGATCTTTGATTCTTGCCTCTACCAGGCTTGTTCTGCACTGTGTGGCTCTCTTTGTTGATGATACTTCTCACTCCAGTTCTTGATACTTGGAAATGTTGTGATATCTCTGTATATCCATTGTCTACCTCTACAAAGTTAAAGCTTATCATTGCACAGCAGTGGTTTGTGCTATGGTTTACATTGACACTGATCATTTTTGTTATTTTCTGAAATTATTCTGTTATTGTGTGCAAATAGAATAGAATTAATACTTTGTAAAGAAAACTAGTGTCTTTAGAAATGCTGAAAATCACCTGCGATGTTAAAAGTGCTTTTAAACAGTGCCGTGTGTGTGTGTGTGTGTGTGTGTGTGTGTGTGTGTGTGTGTGTGTGTGTGTGTGTGTGTGTGTGTGTGTGTGTGTGTGTGTGTGTGTGTTTGTGTGTGTGTTGTGTCTCATGTGAATGACTTCCCTAATCCTTGTACACACATCTTGGTCAAACAATAGAAAGATAACATCTCTCATCTCTCTTACCGTCTCTTTGTCAAACAAACACGCTGCTTGGCAGATCAGATATCGTCAGGAGAGCACAGTTTGTGCTGCAAATGAAGTTTTTGTCTTGCGGCCTTCACGTCTGCCGCAGGGAGTGGAGGTATTCTGCTGTCAAGGAGTGAAAAATAAGGCTAAATGCACCTAGATCACACAGTGCGGGGACAAGGCAAAGCAGGAGGAGCTGATAAAGATAGTACACTCAGCTTTCAGCTAAGACACCTGCTGTGACGAGAGGAGGAAGAGCGGGAGAAAAGTGATGAGAAATGTTGTAAAATAGAGAAATTACACCCCCTGCTTTCAGCCGAATGAGAAGGAGAGTGTGTCACTGAAATGCTGCTACTTCATTTAGTAAGTAAACAGATATGAGATACAAGAGATACGAGGGTTTGGGTTGTTTATAACGTGCCAGGACTGACAACCAGCCCTCGAACGGCACTAATAAACCATATTACTGGCATGAATATGCAAAAGCTCTTTTAGATCAGCCATCCCAGTTCACTCAGAGGAAGTGTACCTCTCTTGGATGTAGTATAGCTAATGTTCCAGTCTCTTGTTGGACTTTGGGTTCCACAGGCACAGTTGTTATAGACTGTGAACAAAACACAGCTTTTGTCAGAGAGCAACACTTTGTAAGGATTTTATGGTTTTTACACATAAAAAAACAAAAATTTTCCCTTGTATGTAAAGACTAGCTATTCTACTCTTGCTCTCTGCAGGTATCCTTTAGACCTCACTCTTCCACCTCCTCGTGAGCACCTTGTTAACAATCAAAAATCTTTGTCTTCCAGGTTGTCTGTACCGGGGTCAGGAGTGTCGGCTGGCGATCCACTATGAGAGGGGCTTCTCTGTGCTGGCTGACCCGAAAGCAGAAGATGGGGAGGACTTTGAGGAGAGAGTAGCTCGCACTACTAGCAAGCCCCAAGTTCTCCTCTCTTACCCCTTTGAAAAACTAAAGATGTCTTCAGATGACGGAGTACGCATGCTGTTCCTCGACTTTGGGGGGAAGGAAGGGGAAATTGTGAGTGTTTTTTTTTTTTTTTTTTTTTTTTT